GGTGGTCCGGTGCCGCTTGCCCAACGGGATTTGGCGCAGCATGTTGATTAGCATTGACTACTGGATTAGCATTCATGTTGGCCCTTAGTCGTCTTGCGGACTTACTCCGAGTGACTACAGGCTCCCGTGTGTACTCTTTTTTATGTTTAGATCATCCTCGACTTGGGCTCGCCAGATCGATCCGCTATGGTGACCAATCACTTACCTAGTCCTTAGATCAACACATGTCGGCCCTCCGTTACCAACCTCCCGGCCAGCGCGACTTCCTTATGGGAATGGGTAGTGGGTCTGGAAGTAGCGTGAAAGGGGGTGTGTCAATGATTTTAGGAAAAAGGGTCGGAGTCTAAGGTCAAAACTGGAATCTCTGGTATCAATATTCTAAGGAAAAGGATGCATGTGGTGCGGGTGAAAAGGGGCGTTCCGAGTTTTCGGCGCAGCCGGTCATTGGCCCCGCCATAGCCTCGACAGTCAGTGTGCGTGCAATTGTAGTCGATAACAATTGTCAAATTTTGATGGTATGACCGTACGGGCCTGTGTTTACGACAGACCTTCCTACCCATGCAGATTGGTATTCGCAGACCCGTCAGAAAAGGATTATGCAAGCGCGTGTATACACTAAGGGCCGAGCTGTCGGCGAGTCGTAGCGCATGCACAAGCTCACATAAGTTCCCTTCATCATAAGTTCGCTTCATCAGACATTTAACAAAAACGGCCAAACTTCCTTCTCCTTTATTTCAGCAAACCGGTCTCAGGCAAGCATCCATGTTCTCCAATCATAATCAGGGAATGGGCACACAAAGACACAAGCGATCAAAACCATGAAAAGGCAATTAAAACCACAATCACCATATCCAACATCCTCAATAAGGAAAGAAATGTGAGAGTACTTTGAAGAAAGAGCAGGATTTACACAATCAGATGTCCATTTGTAATTACAAAAATGGGAACGGCGAAACGTGCAGTTCCGAATTTAAAAATGCCGAGAGGGATATGAGATAAAATATCATACACCCTGGCAACCCACGCTCTCTCGCTCTTCTTCACCAACCCTCTTCTCTTTCCTGTGTGGGGTGTCCGTCGCCTAGCACCTATCAGCAAGTTACAGCAACTCAGAGTCGTCACCCCGCTTAGCACGAGTACGCATGCCGGATTCGTCCATGCTCCACAGTTCATCGTGGCCGCATGTCAACCCCGCACACTCGTTGCCTGCCAGTCAGATCGCCCAACTCCAAACTCACCTCCTCGTTGGCTCCTACTCGTTAGCCGATCGTCTTGACCGCGCTAACCTTCCGAAATTTGATTAGAGAGCGATTTTGTCGTGCTTGCAAAATTTATAGCTATCAGCATCAGGGCAGGATAGTCGGGATTATGCTGGGGCAGGGGAAGAGAAGAAAGAAGTGCCTGAGGTTGGAATACCTGAGCTGCGGCGTGGGGGACGTAGCCACTCTCCATGCATCTATCCAGTCATGCACCATTGTGGCCAATGAGTTGAAGGGAGAGGGGCCGTGTGTTTCGGCGCGATGAGAAATCAATACCAAAAAGATTGCTGTTACACCCGCACTCATAGAGGAAAGAACAAGAGATTACAGTTGAGATTAGAATTCAGGCGCAGAGGAAGTAGAGTGCGGGACAGAGCGCAGCACAACGCGCGCAAGTAAGGAAGGCCGTGCAGTTATGAAAAAGAAAATGCGACAACCCCAAAAATCCAAATCTAATTGAAGTTCTTATTTAGATTGCTCCTGTATGTTTCCCCCCAGAGTTCAAAATTTCAAAAAGATTTTCCCGTGCGATGACTGCACCGAAGTTCCCTTCCCCGTTCCGAAAAGAAAAGGAAGAGGCCACGTCAACTGCGATTTCTGCGCTTGCTAAGACGCATTCTAACTACCAACCACCATGGGACCAGGTTTTCACAAAACAAAGAGAGAAAGGGGAAAAGAATGGGGCCACTTGCAAGAGTGCTGAAGCCGGGCGGGGCGGAATTCCGTATTATCTCTAGGTGTATTCGAGGTTTGACCCCAGGAGATACTGGGGTATCTGATGATTTTATCCCGTAGAGGAGGACAGTAGGAAAATAACGGAAGTCGGCAGTACCGGGTAGTAGCCGGTACTGGTAAAAACTGGCACAGGGTGGGTACGAGCTGAATGAACGTGAGCATATACAACGGGCTGAGGAGCTTAGGAATGGGGGTTAACTTTGCGGGCGAACGTAACGGGGGGCAGAGGGAACATGATGGTTAAGCCAGTGGGACAGGATGGGGTGGGACCGGGATGAGGCCGGGCATGGGGGAAATGAGGGAGAAGTAGGCACCGATGATGTGGGGGACGAGGG